AGGAACCTCACCTTCAATTCACTTTATTTTTGCTTGTTTAAGTTTACATTTTTTGCATCCCTTTCGTCTCCTTTAACTAACTGTACTGACATAATTGTTGTATAGGCCAACTTTCGTCTATGTAATTTTATTTTATTCACCTGTGGGACATGGGCATTGCTGTCTGGGGCTAGCATTTATTTGCCCTTATAAAGGTGGTGGTGAGCTGCCTTCTTGAACCACTGCAGTCCACATGCTTCGGTAAACCCAAATTGGCAGGGAATTCCAGGATTTTGAGCCAGTGCCACTGAAGGAACAGTTATAGATTTCCAAGTCAGGATGGTGAGTGGACTGGAGGGGTATTTGTAGGTGGTGCCATTCCCATGTATCTGTGCCCTTGTCCTTCTAGATGGAACTGGTTGTGGGTTTGGAAGGTGCTGTCGAAGATGTCTTGCTTGCTTTCTGCAGTGAATGCTTTAAATGGTACAATGGTGATGGAGGGAGCAAATGTTTGTAATGTGGTGCCAGTCAAGTGGGCTGATTTATCCTGGAGGCTGTCAAGCTTCTTGAGTGAATTTGGAGCTGTACTCACCCAGGAAAGTGGGGAGTTTTACGTTACATTCCTGACTTGGGTCTTGTAGATGGTGGACAGGCTTTGGGAGGTCAGAAAGTGATTTTAAACTTCTGACCTGCTCTTGTGGCCACTATATTTATATGGCTAGTCCAATTCAGTTTCTGATCAATGGTGACCCTCAGGATGTTGGTGAATTAGTGATGGTACTGCTGCTGACTGTCAAGGGATGACAGTTAAATTCTCTCTTGTTCAAGATTGCATGGTATTTCTGTGGTGCGATTATTACTTACTTATTACTACGACATTTCAGCCAAAGTCTGGATATTGTCCAGGTCTTAATGCATATGGACACAGACTGTTTCAGTATCTGTGGAGATGTGAATGGCGTAGAACATTATACAATCGTCAGCGAACATCTCCAATTCTGATCATTGATGAAGCAGCTAAAGATGGCTGGCTGTCCATCTGGCATGGGATTCCAAGTGATAGTCAGTAGACTTATTCTGATGGTTTGGTTATGCTAATAAGTGGGTGGGGATTGACTGGTTTCTTTTGTGCTTGCTAGTATTAGCCCTGCTGCATTTTCCTGAAGTAAAGAATTGCTCTGATTTTCTGAGAATCAACTTCACTGCCCTGAATGGAAGCGAAATCAGGTGAAACACATGTTGAACAACTAATCCAGCGTAGCTAACTTTCTGCCATCAGTGGAAAGTTACTCCCCATCTACTTGGCACATCTTAACACTGGTTGCATAAGAGAAACTTCAACCACAGACTTTGACATACCGGTTATTTCAGACAGACAATCTGTTTAGTGTCAAAAATACAGGTAGTTTTATGATGAGGTCTTGAGCTCCCTAAATTCCTTTCCAAATTTCAGTTTGAAATTCCCTTGATTGCGTCATGAGCTTATTCAGTGAGTTGTTGAGCTTTCTAGATCAAAGTGGCCCAGTTTATATCTGCTTTTAGCGTCATAGAGATCTACAGCACAGAAAATAGCCTTTCGGCCTATCGAGTCTGCGCCAGTCAAAACCAAGCACCTAACTAGTTACTATTCTGGCTGCAGCATTTTGGCAAGTAACCAGAGGGACTCCACTCTCTGTGGTATTGCATTTTCAGCAGAGAACTCCTGACAGGTATGGCACTTGCATATTGTTTACTCAACTCTAGATGGCTCTCTGATGGAGGGAAGCACGTTATAATAATTACACTTTCCTTGTCATACTTGGATATTTCTTTTAAAAGAAGATTCTAGAGGGGCTGAAATTTTTTTAAAAAATGATAACAGTCCGGAGAGGAGAAAATCAAGAAAAAAGAATAAGCCCAATCATTGCATTTTAAGATGATTTTTAAGTAACATGAGCTGGACAAAATTTAGTGCAGCTTCTGCCATTCTGGTATTCACATGGTACAATAATTGATGAGTAGTCAATTTCCATCAATTTATTTACAATGGAGCCAGAAATTAAATGAGGAATACCACAATACAGGAGAGCTTTGGGAAACACAGATACCGGTCAGCTACTTCCTCCCAAGCAAACTATATTTACCACAAATCATAGCTCAAATAGCTCATATATTAGATCACAAGATCTTATTTTCTGAAAGGAATTAATCTAACTTGTGTATGAATGAATTAATAGTATATACTTTCACCATCTCTAGGAAATCTGTTGCTGGAAGGATCTCAACATTTTGAAGCCCAACAATGGTGAATTGAAGAGGAATTTAAAGAGTTTAAAGGGTATTTAAAGAACATGCCATAACCCAAAATAATAATAAATGACTAGACATCCTACATGATAACAAATACCCCACGTACAGAAAGTCTGCAGATCCTGACTAGCTTCATTAGTGATCTCTGGATGGAATGCAATCAACATTGCACGTGGGGGATAGGCAACAGGGAGTTTGTGGAATAGATTGACTACTTACTCAGAAATACTGGGTAAATCTTACAGGGATCTGAGAGATGTGGCTATGTGAAATGTGTAGCAGAATTGGGCAACAAGTGAGGCAAGACCATCTCACTCCATCTTTAACGCTTTTCACAAGCAGCTTGGAGATTCAGTGCAGAGATACCAATTGACAGCGATTAACACTTAGAATTATGGAATCCCTACAGTGTGGAAGCAAGCCATTTGGCCCATTGAATTCCCACTGACTCTCTGAACAGCATCCCACCTAGACTCATCCCCTATCCTATCCCCGTAACCTTGCATTTCCCATGGCTAATCCATCTAGCCGCTATATCCCTGCACAATATGGGCAATTTAGCATGGTCAATCCACCTAACCTGCACATCTTTGGACTGTGGGAGGAAACCAGAGCAACTGCAGGAAACCCACACAGACACAGGAAGAATGTGCAACCTCCAGGCAGTCACCCAAGGGTGGAATTGAACCGGGTCCCTGGCGCTGTGAGGCAGCAGTGTTAACGAATGAGCCACTGTGCCACCCTGAACCCAGGACCTCTCACATGCCTATAATGTACATGTCCCTAAGTGAGAATCATATGCCTAGGTACTTTAACCCACTTGTTAAACACCTTCTCAAAGGCAACTAGGGACAGGCAATAAATGCTGCAAGTGATGCTCATGTCCTATGAATGAATTAAAAGGAACAGAAGACACCTTATTGTTATTCAGACTCCCACCTTACAAACAAGCTAGCATTAGGAAAACGTGGCAAGGAAACTAAAGCACCTTGTGGATTCACCTTGCTGTTGGCTCTGAATGACATTCATTGGACACTGAGCTCCAACATCTCACAGTATGTGTCATGGGCACCAGCCACATGCACCTGATGTCCATGGATATTGGCATCTGACATTCCACACTGTAAGAACACTCATAGGCTGTTTACTTACAGTGCATTTCAATGCTAAAACTTGGGTTGCACTGGCAACTCTCATTGTAGTGCTGCTGCAAGGACACTGCATTCAGGGACATCCATCCAGCTCATGGACCGGACCAGGCTTTTCACTCAATGACTTGCTTTGACCCTACCTGGATGTGTGCAGCATCCTGCCTTGTCGTTTGTGCTTTACTCCTCAGCCTGAGATACAGGCTCACATTCCTCCTGTGCCATTTAATGTAGAGTTAAAGCCTGGCACAAAGAAAGGAACCTTGCCACAGTTACCAGCAGATCTCAGTAACAATAACAGGGTAAAGCCTTTGCTTAGGGGCCCTCAGCATAGTAACTCAAGGGCAGCAATATCAGTCCAGATCCTGCTCACAGTGGCAGAATTAATATCCTGGCTTTATAATGGGTGAAGAGCTGAATGAGAAGCAGAAAACCAGCCCTCTGCCCTACAGTGGGCTGTTTTCCTCATGGACCAGGTGAGAAGCCGGTATTATGGAAAACGAAAGCGGGTGGCACGGCCACTACTGTGGTGGAGTTGGGGAGGTTTCAGAGCGAGTGAGTAGGCAGCACAGAGGGCATGCAGGGTTGGTCATGTCAGGGGTTAGGTGGGTGACAGCAAGTGGGAGATGATATTGCAGGCATTAATGAGAATGGTAGAGCATAAACCTTGGCGGGAGATGAGTACAGTAAAAATGATAGAGGGAGTGAGAGGTATCAGAGAGATGACAATGGCATTAGCATTGGTGATGGAGAAGGACATTGATTTTCTTCTTAAAGCACTGGGCATCCCTCTGGACTGTAACTGGTTTAACCTGGGTGGCAACATCAGACCAGGCTGGCATAGTCTGGGATTGTACCGTCCACTGCTGGGCCTGGGAAAGAGCAAGTTCCACCCCATCCAGTGGGGTCTCCAGGACTCTGCACACAAAGCCAGGTGCTGATTTCTCCTAGTGTGCTATGTTCAGGACAAATGTCAGGAACGGTGCAGAGCACCTCCTAACTGACAATGCTTGTCTGGGTACATAACATCCATCTAAAGTTGATGTAGGCTAAAGAGATGCTGAGTTCTTACAGCAATGGCACATGCTAAGAGGGGCAGAAATTGGACATGACAGACACCATAGGGGCAGGGATAGGGGTAATTAATGAAGCAAGTTTGGTAAGCTATGGTGAGGAAATGAGCTAGACCTCATAGCAAGAACCCCTCCAAAACGAACTGACGCAACTCAATTGTAACCAAAACAAAAATAAGATTTAGCCAATTGTTTCAACATAGATCAATTTTGTATTTAACCACTTTCTGAAACATATTATCTGGTTCTACTATTCTGGACAAGGTGAATTCAAATATCATGTCACTGAGAGAAAAAAATCTTGAATGTTCAAATGAAATGAGTTCATACTTTTTTCTTCAGCGTATCTGGTATTGTGTTTTAAATTTGTGTCCCCTAGATTTAAACCATCATATTATCTAGAGTATAAAATGAGTATAGAGTTTAGAGAAATAGAGCACAGGCAATGTACAAAAATGAATCAATTCAGGTAGAAATGAAACACAAGTTAGATAAAACACAAACTACATACCTTTTAGGTCATCCTCATTCTGTTCTACATCTTTCTCTAAAGGAGGTAATGGTGGATAGTTCAAGTCCTCTTTAAATATTTCAACATGCTTTCCATCCAGAAATATATCAATCTGCAAAAAGAACATATTAATCAGTTATTAGAAAACGGTGTCTAAAAAAAAATCACAGGCTGAAGACACTTCAAGGTTGATCAGGTGAGTGTTACTCCCAAAAAGGAGGACTGCCCACAAGAAATGCAGGTCAAGAGAATGCAGGCTGGCAACCACCACTTATATTTTTGCAGTGCTTTTATAGCTGCATATTCAATGTGCAGCTGTAACACAGAAGCTAGATAATGATGCAAATACTCTTATGCTTTATTCAGACTGAAGAACAAGATCAAGTTGAGAGACTTAAAAATGCTACAATCCTTTCGAAATAACATCAATTAACTTCGCCAAGAGTTTCAATGTCAAAAAGTGAAGTGAGACATTTGGTTGACAGTGTATTGAATGGTAGCATTTTAAAGGCTGGCAAGAATAGAGTCCTGTGAATGCTTGTACACAAATCTTAGAAAATGGGAGGACAGTTTAACAGAACAGTTAATGAAGCAAACACAATCCTGAGGAAGGGTCACCAAACCCCAAGCATTAACTCTGATTTTTTCTTCACAGATGCTGCCAGACCTGCTGAGCTTTTCCAGCAACTTCTGTTTTTGTTGCAATCTTGAGTTTTATAAGTGGAGGCATATGTTACAGAAGTTAAGAAGCATTGCTAAATCTACAGAAATCACTAGTTTGGTTCTGATGGGAGTACTGCGTCCAATTCTAGGCATCACACTTTAGGAAGAGTAAATGCTTTGGAGTGGGTACAGAAGAGACTCACTAGAAAGGTTCCAACATGAGAGATTACAGTTATTGGAATAGATTGGAAAATCTGGGTGTGGTATCTCCTCAGAGCATGGAAGGTTAACAGGAACTTTGATAGAGGTGTTTAAAATCATAAAGGGTTTATTTGGAGTAAATAAAGATAAACTATTCCCAATAGGTGATAGGTCAATAACTGTAGGAAAGATTTAAGGAGATTGGCAAAAGAACCAGAGGCAACATGAGTAGAAACTCCCTCACCCAATGAGTGGTTAGGATTTGGAATGCACTGCTTGATAAGGTAATAGATTGAACAGCAGCTTTCAAAGGGAAATTGGATAAATAATTAAAGGAAGAAAAAAAACTGCACTGATATGAGGAAAGAGTGAATGAGTCTGACTGGGAAGACAAGGTAGAAGATAATGCAAATTTTTGAAGCGCTCAAGAACTATGAAACATAGATGACAATAAAACAAAAAAAACCGTTAATGGATAGCATAGTTAAACTTCCAAAAATAGTAATATTACTTCAAAAATAACATGCAACATTCTAGAATAAATTGACCAATTCTATTTTTAGGCAGAAGGCACAAAATCCAGTGTTAAGAACAAATTAGGAGTGAAACGCAAGCATGTGGGTCAAATATGGGGCAAGAAGAGGGGCACTAATTGGTTTGAAAAGTTCTGTGGATATCCTTAATGGACAATTTGAATATTTACTGGTAAATATAAAAGGGGCAGAGTTATTGCTTTGGATGCTAATCGACAAAACAGTTGCAAATTAATCCGAATTTGTGGCTGTTTTGCCAAGAGTTTTTGGTTTCAGGTTCCAGCTCAAAAATATTGGCATATCACCTAAATCTGCCAGAAACCAGCATAATGGCATTATTTTAAAATCTAATTTTTTAATAAACAATTTTACTTTTAACAAATTGCTTGACATATTTAACAGTGATACATTTTGATTAATACAGTCAAAAATAGATATATTACACAGAATAAGCTGTATCAATGCACCCTCTGTGGCTGACCCAATTTTAAATGACTGAAAATGAGTTTTAACAAATATACAAAACCGTTTGCTACTTTTATTGGACAACAGTAGTCAGTTTTAGTAATTCAAAGGTTGTGTATTCAAAGGCTTTTAACATGTTTCTGTTAGAGCTCTTATGCCCAGCTTAATTTATGAAGCTCTTTCAAAGGCCCACAGATGCGTTTAATTAACAGAAGTTAGCAATGCAATTAATATCTAGTGTTGTGGATGGAACCTGTTTCTATCCCAATGTTTTTTTTAAATAGGACAAGAGATTGTGGAAACGAAAGTTAAATTAAATGAAATCTGTACTTAAAAGCCTCCGAGCTTTTGCACCAGTTACACCAATACCGGTCAAATTGTGCCGAAATATCAAGTGCAGTCAAGAGGAATCCCAAGGCCAGGAATCAAAGCTTCAACTCACTACCTTCTGATTCATAGCGGAACATGCTGAATGCTTAAATAATCTAAAATTGCATATCGAATCAGAATTTATAGAAAAGAACCCCAAATTACACACACAATTCGCATAATGTCAATTTGCAGGGCAGATTTAATTTGGTAATGTCGACTGAACATGTTTTTCTATGCAGCTTTGGCATTTTAGAATGTAACACAATTACTATACCACAACGTTCTGTTTTGGATGTAAGAAGAAGAATGGCTTCAGTACAGGAGACCTACGAACAAATAAAAAGAACATTTAGAGTTGGTTTATGTCAATTTATGAAAGTATAATTTGTACAATGATTTAATTACAAAATAAATCTGCAGGAAGGTGCAGCATCGATGTTCAGTATTGAGACTGTGAAACCACTCAGAGCCCCTTCTCAGTCCAACTCTACTTCTTTCAATGCCCACCCTTAGAAAAGTACATATACAACTACAGTTTCAAAATCCCAATTTTCCAGCCTTTGGTGTTCCAATCATTACAACATCTATCAATTTTCTCACCTTTCAGGCTGTAGTTACCAATATAACAATTACTGTCTTTCACCCTGGTCATTCATCTTGGTACAATTCTCATCTTGTGTCCTTTAAAGCCAATGGCAGATATGAATGGATACGACAGACACCCGCACTCCATGACATCCACATCCATGTTACACTTTGTTAACATGTTGAATGTTAATTTGTTTTATAACATGTGTTAGTTAATTTGATCTTTCCAGGGAGGTAGGTTTGCAATACTGAATGATGCCAAAAGCGTGAGCTCAGTTCCTGCACTGGCTGAAGACTCTCCTTCTCCCCTAACCAACACCAGTCATCTCTCTCTAATGAGACAGCACTCTGTGGTCTGCTAAGACTATAGTGACTTTACCTTTATTTCCATGGGTCCTTTAGAAAGTACCAATACTCAGGGTACATGCACCAATAGTGTGCTAGATATGGTCGATATCCAGTAGGTAGCATATTTTAATTTAAAACAAGGCAAATTGCACATCTCCAATGGTGCACAATACTTACCACTTTGTGGATTTTGACAGCAGAGACCTAGACGATGTAAGTCTCTTCCTATTTGTTCTCTAGAAACAATCATCAGTTCGCATGCAACAAAAATAAGAAAGCAGAAAGCGAATGTTGAAGAACTCCACTTCAGAGATACACTCTAGGGTGCCTGGCACTTTTTCTAAAAGTGCACTTACTCTCATAGTTAAAAATAGGCCATTACTGCATTTACTGGGCATACAACCAGTTACCTATTCTGGAATTCAATTTTCAGACATCTTAAAATTTCAGAAGTGCACTCTTGCTTCAAAGAAGAGAGTTTAAGCTTAAAATCAATTACAGGTAGCATTCACAGAAATTCTGATCTGATGGAACTGTTTACTGCTGTATAGACAGTTGTTCTAAGATCCCAACAAGTATTAATATTCAAGTTGCATATATTTAGTAATTAATTTGATCTTTGAACTAATCATATTAATATATTTGTCAAGCTGACATACTTACACCTTGGGTCTTCCTCCAACAATTCCAGTTAGACCTGGTGCTGTACAAAACAAAATAAAATATTTGTATATAATTGAAATATTTAACTGGCGCTACTGAAAGCTTTCAGATTCACTTCTAGTAGATCTGTGTTAGGGTTTCAATTGTCTGAGAAAGAAGGGCAGGATGAGGAAGAAGAGGGATAAGGTGTAGAGGGGTTATACTAGGCAAAGGGGAGAGAACACCCAGTCAGCTCTGCTTGAAAATGCCAATGTGTGATTGTCTTGGCGTATGTGATAAAATAACAGCTTAAGAAAGACCATAGCAATCTTACTATTATAAAGCGAGATAAACAGTGAAAACACCAAGTCATCTAAAGTCTGTTCATTTTTAAATAAAATCCAATGATACTGAATGATCCTCCTCTTTGAATAATCAGGATAAGGTACACCACATATAAGAAGCGCTTAATTTTCCTAACTTGGGTTCATTCCAAACTGACATCCAGGACAGGGAGGATCTTGATCAACAGAATGTGAATGATGCCATTTGAGTAACTCCCCAGTGAAACCACCTTTCTAGGACAACATCCCAAACCCAGCGCACAAACCATCCATTGTGATTTTGGGTTTCTTTTACTTTCACGAATGATATAATTGTGACTCACATAAAGTCCTATAAAACAGTACAAACTATTCACCACAACATGCTAAACCATCAATGCCATGAAATACATAACAGCTTGAAATTGTGAGCTGTTTCATAAAGAAAGGCTGAATGCGTCAATGAAGTTTCAGAAGCTGGATCTTGAAGATAGTAATCTGAAATTATTCCCAGTTTCATATGGAGCAAGTTAGGGAGAAGCAGATCGAAAAATCAGTACATACTTATCCAGATTGTATGGATAGGTGGATCCAGATTTCTGGACCATCTGAAAGGATTCTGTATAGGGGAAAATCTCTAAAGCCAGGATAATTCAGGAACATTGTCCTCATAGAAAGGATAAATGAAAAGCTAGGGAAGAGGGTATCTTAGGCACAAGTTGGAGTGTTTAGACCAAATATAACAATGGGGAAAAGCAGTCCAGTTAGAATGGATGAATTTGATATTGTAGAGACAATACTTTGCTGTAATATCAGTCCAGCTTCTCCATACAGCATTGCCTCAAACTTATCAATTTTATTCCATATACTTCATCCAATTAAAAGTATGTTTATTACCTTACTCTCTTCAATATGTTGCTTTTAATTTCTTCTTTACTACATTTTTCTCTTTTTCTTTTCTGACAGCCTTTTGTTTCTCTCTAAACTCTTGTCCTGTCTCTTCCATCCCTCATGCTACATTAGTTTAAATACTCCCCAAAACACCCCAAGAGATTTCTCAGAGGGGACACTTAGTGCAGTCATATCGCAATGAAACTTATTGACCTATGTATAGCTCTTCTGCTCACAACTGACCTTATTGTGAACTATTAAGTCCTGGAGTATGAACCCTTACCTTCCAGGTCAGTTCTCCATCCATTTATTTACATTTCTATCTTACCAAGACTCATGACCCTCAGAGAGAAAAAAAGTCTAATCTTTGCTTTAAATGGACAACCCCTGCTTTTTAAACAGTGACCTTAGATTCTCCCATAGAGGAAACATTCTCTTCACATCTATCTTGTCAAGATCCCTCTGGATTTTGTACGTTTCAATTATTCTTCTAAACTCCAGTTGATACAAGCTTATTCTGTCCAAATTTTCCTCATAAGCGAACTCGCACATTCTAGGTATTATTCTAATGAAACCTCTCTGGACTAACTTCTCCTACTTTTTTGATGATATTTTTGCATTTTTTAAAATATTCTGTCAAATGTTTGACTTGTCACTTATCTTGTACAATTGTCTACTTTCTCTTTTAGTTAACACTATCTTTAACATTTCTAGTTATCGATGAATGGTGGGTCTGTCCTTAGAACGTTCTTATTCGTTGGAATGTATCTATTCTGAGTATTCTCAAATATCCTCTTAAATGTCTGCTACTGCATCTCTATTGACCTAACATTTAAGATAATTTGCTAATTCTACCTTCATGCCCTCAAATGGCACTTACTTAAATTTAAAATAATTGTTTCAGATCTGCTCTTCTATCCCTTGAATGGAATGTAAACCTCAATCATTTTACAGTCTCTGCTATCCAGGGCACCTTCACTATGAAATCATTAATTAATTCCATCTCATTGAATAACGTTAGGTCTATTATAGCCTGCTCCCTGGTTGGCTCCAAAATGTACTAGTGTAAGAAACTATCCCCAAAACATTCTACGAACTTCTCGTCTAGGCTATTTTTGTCCATCTGTCTTTTTCAGTTGACACATAGATTAAAATCTGCCATAATTCTCACCATGTCCTTCTGATAAGGTCTCATTATTTCTTCCTTTAAGCCAACACTATTATGTCGTCACAGGCATGTATTCCACTCTCACAAATAACTTCTTGCCTTCATTTTTTGGGTAGAAATTTTTTACCCAAAATGTTTGTACATCTTGGTTTCCTGAACTTAGATCTCTATTGTACTAATACTTTCATTAACTAGCTGAGCCATCCCTACAAGTTTCCTACTTTCCTTTCATTTCTTAATGTCCGATACTCTTCAAGACTCAAGTCCCAATTCATGTCAGCCTGCAGCATGTCTCTGTAATGGCTATTGATCATACTTATTTATTTCTATTTGCAATCTCACTTCATCCATTTTGTTTTGAATGATACCAGCATTCAAATACAGAGTCTTTAGTTTTATCCTTTTACCCTCTTTTGTAAATTCTAATCTTATTTGCTGGTTGACTCTTAGATTCGTACTGTATCTCCTCCTTTCATGGTCTGTTTATTATTTCCCATAACAAGAGCTTTCTCTTTGGCTTGATCCTACACTTCCATTTACCACTGTGGGTCCTCTTATTGCTACACTTGAATTCATATTTTCCTGTCACTGAATACTGGTCAACGCAGACAATCCAACCTTAAGAGGTGTGATTGCAGCTTGATACAAAGAATCTTGATAACTATCCCCCTGCCTGGTGTGTCACAGTGTCTGTAGTACATAGTCCAGTTTCCAGTTCAAAGTCTGAGCCGAAGCTGCTTGAACTTCAAACACATGCCATAAATGTGCTTGGTCTGGACTAATCTGGTTTCTGGAAATCCCACATGCTGCAATTGTAACATCTCACCTGTCCAATGTGTTCTAAAGATCTATTCATTATATTCAACATTATATTTAGCTATGTTTTTATATATTTTATGAACTTTACCACCAGCTGCTACACCATTTTGAACCTTCAAAAAGTATAAACATTCACTGCTTATCAAATACTCACGAATTAACCAGCTTCTTCCCCTGTAGTAGAGTAAGAATCAATTCCTGGAGGCTGAAAAAGTTTATGCAAAAATAAAAGAACACCTATTTCCCTCCTCTGCTTAAGTCCCTGAATCACTTAACTTTGGAATTCTATTCTAAGTCACGTCAAGTACTAAAGTCATGCTAAATTGGCCTATTTTATCTTCTCCGAAAACAAAAGGGCTATCTGACTCACTTGATGAGGATCCAGTTTCAGTTGGCACTTATTTAAACCGTTGTTTCACCAAAACCCTCGAAAAAATTTTAAGGCTGGCAACTACAGAATTTAAACTGTAGATTTCAGTTTAATGCCAACTACAACCCAAATTAAATTTGTAAAAAATAAAAAGTTAGACTTTCTTATCCAACAATTGCACACACTCAGGTATTGCTGGAAAGACCAGCATATTTACTGGCTTTCCCTAAATACCCTCAGGAAAATGGTGGGGATTGCAATCCACTTGGTGTAGATACATTCAAGTACTATTAGAGAGCAAATTTCAGGATTTTGACTCAGTAACACTGTTGACAATATCTGCCATAACTTTGCCGATGATAGAAGGTGGACTGATTAGACATTAACTGGCTAGACTGAATCTGTCTTGCTTTCAATGGCTAAACAAACCTGGCCAATTTTCCACTTTACCAAGTAGGTGTTAGCGTGATTTTACTGGAATAGTGGAACATGGCTAGTTCTGGAGCACAGCTCTTCAGTGCAACAACTGGACTGCTGGCAGGGACAAAGTCTTTGTTGACACTCAATACACTCAGCCAGTCTTGAAATCACAGAGAATGAGAAACAGAAGTGCAGAAACCGTGGTGCAGGAACATAGGATTTAGATGGTGTGGACCTCAGGAAAAGGCCGAGATGGATCATCCACTTAGCACTTTTGGCTGAAGATTGTTGTTAATGCTTCTGTCTTTTTTTTTGCATTGAGGCACCAGTATCTAGCATGGGATATTCATGAAGTTCCCTTCTCCCATTATTTGTTTCACTGTCAACCAGCATTCAGTTGGGTTTAAGAGGACTGTAGAACTTTGACCTGATTTGTTGGTTGTGGAATTTGTATAGTAGACCTCTGGTCCAGAAATGGCAGCTATGATTCAGGGCTTGGTACTGTTGATGGGCATTGAATTCTTTCACTTAGAGTCCATTCTGTTTCCTGTTGCCTTTAATCGTTTCTCCAAATGGTGTTAGACAGGAAGAAACACTAATTCAATAGTTGAGGAAGGGCAGCAAATGGTATCAGGCAGGTCTCCTGCTCATGTTTGACATGATACCATGACACCAAATTGGGTGCAGAGTCAATGCTGAGGACTTCCAGGGCCACACTTTCCTCACTGGATCTGGCCTGACAGTGGGACAGAACACACACAGGTGTGGTGCTGCTGGAGTCTGGTACATTGGCTGAAAGATACAATCGTGAGGGATTACATCAGGCTGTTGCTTGATTAGTTTGTGGGACAGCTCTCACAATTTTGGCTCAAGTCCTCAGATGGTAGTGAGGTTGTGGGGGCCTTTGTCATGAATGGTGCTAAAGTTAATGCTGAGTGTCACAATCCGATCAACTTAAAAGTAGTAGTTTGATGCATTTGAGTGGTTCTCTCAAGGAGCATTTAAGAGTCAACAACAAGGTTGTGGGCTTATATTAAAATGTGGACAGCAGATTTTCTTCCCTGAAGGCC